ATAGATGTGTGTGTATATTTATATATGTGTATGTATATTTATATATGTGTGTGTATATTTATATATGTGTATGTATATATGTACTTATTTGTTTTATACTTTTTATTTATGTTTAAATTCTAATGAAAGTAAATAAAATTAAATAATTGCACACCTGAGGTTTCTTCTTGGGTCAAAGCAGGCATGGTCTATTTGCTAACGCTTTTCACCTTTGTCTTTCGTCAATACGACTGATTTTAACAGCGTTGCTAACGATACTTTTATCATTCTCTTTTATCTTTTTAACTTATTTAACTTAAAAGATGGGATAAAGAGATAGAGGAAAAGAGGTTTTAGTCTATTGTAATTTGGTCCCTCAAAAAAAGGAACTCGCATGATACACGAGATACATGATAAAATCATTTTTACAAGAGATAATTTCGGGGTCGCACGATACACGAGATCGCCCGTTACACGAGTATATACGGTATATATATATCTTAGTCCCCTTTATATATACCGGGTGTAACAACAAAACTGTCCAAATCGCGTAACAGCAAAATTGTCCATTTGTTAGATTAAGCTTTGAACCGTTGTATCTTAGAAATGATTAAAAATATCTTACTGGAATTCTCCGAGGGTTTTATAACACTATGTGACACTAGTTTGAGCAATAAGAATTTATAATTACTTTCCAACCTTGACAGAAGGATCGTTATGAAATCGATCATAAACGAAAATGATATATTCATCACTAATTGATCATAGCTAAGGATCAAAAGAACATGAAGGATTGAAATTAAGTTCAAATATATATATATTATTCCAGGATCATTTTCCAACTTATTCACGATGATCTTCGCCTTCTCTAACCTTCTAAGTTTCTGTCCTGGAGTAAAAAGTTACCTGATACTTTTCACTGTGCTGTGTGGTGTAAGGATATCAGCTCAGAATGAGAAATTAAAGGCCAAGGTTCGAATCTCAGTCGATTTCGTTACATTCACTTACGCGCAAATACCCATCTCTGCTACTTCCAGCTATGTGTGAAAGAGCAGAAGAGACTGCGTTCTATAGCCTTGATTGGCAACCAATCTATCAGAAAAAAATGGCAAACTACTACTACAGGAAAATCTTTTGCCTGGTCAGTCATGTAAAGTATAGTAATTAATTGACATGTCGCCATCTTTGAGGCGCTTTCATGATTCCATCTTCCCAATACTTAGTGTTGTAGAGTAGTTTTCACAGTGGAGGCTTGTATTTCACTAAGTAGGTCCTAAATTAGGTTCGACGTACAAAACTTTAGGAACTTGCAATAATAGTTAATGACGCAGCAATCTAGTTGTGGTGGCTCATACTTTAATGTCCGACATCGACTGACTCACAAAACTCACTCTGAGCCCCACTGGCGACTGCTACTACTACTACTTATTATTTGTGGGAGAGTCTATTTACAATAGAAATAGGTACGTTCCGGTATAAAACTTAGCATCTTTCCTGGTAATGAACTAATATAAAACATTTTAAATGATTCCATAGAACTGGAATTTTACAGATGGCGAAATAAGTGGTAATCTGGTTTCCACAGAATTGGAGTTCTTATTAAGTGTATTTTATAGGGGGGCGATATGTGGTAATTTCAGTCGAATCCATTACATTCACCCTTGGGAAAGGTGTGAACCCTCTTCTCCTTCCAGCTATGGGTAAATAGCAGGACAGACTAGGTTCTATAGCCTTGGATGGCAACTGGTCTAGGAGAAGGAAAACTCTGAATTCAAAACCTGCTCTTAGAGGAGGGTGAATGGAGTCTCTCTGAGCCTTGGTTGGCAATCCATTTAGTGATGGTGTCACGATAAAAACACCCTTGATAGCCCTAGCGAAGCATCAAGAATTCAGCTATTTGACAAGATTGTGAACTACACCAATCAAAGTATTAGTAAGTTCAATCTCGGCTGAGGCCGCAAGATGATGATGATAGGGAGTGAAATAAGTGGTGACCCGAAAAAACAAGGTCAGTTTAATACGGCAGGTTTAGTAGGACACCCCAGCGAAGCTGTAGCAATTTCTACCGGATTTGAAATGGAAGGTGATGTCTGGCGTTGTCCTGAGAGAAGACGAAGCACTTTGAAGATGATCAGTTTGATAGAAATATAGTGTTTCGACAAGGCCACCAAAATTCGTAATAGGTGAGAGAGAGATCTTTCAAGAAGTTCCGTAACGTATCTTCCTTGTGTATTTTCTATAAACAGTTCCATGGTAATTCTTTTGATGAACTTCTGTCTATGGTACCTAGACTTTATAAATTTAAGACTGGCAACAAAGTCTCATGATTTTAGAGTTGAAAATACTAGATTTAACCGTAATTTCTATACTGACAGTTTCTTTTATCGCACTTCTTGCTTGTGGAACTCTTTTCCTGCTTCTTGCTTTTCAGGCAAGTTTGATCTTCTAAAATTTAAATATGATATATATCCTTATCTTCTGTCTTCTTAATTATCATTTCTTTATTGTCCTCTCTCTTTAATAGTAGTTTTTTTTCTCATATTTTCTAACACTCAGTAACCTCTTGCGTCCGAATGGCTTTATGGCCTTGTTTAGGCTGAACTGATAAAATAGTGGGGTCATAATTGTTGCTATAGTTTTGACTAGTCTATAGAAAGCAGTTCTAATCCTAGATATGATAGGTCACATAAAGAATGATCTAAACAAACATCAATTAACAATTACGTGATCTTTTAAATAATCTAAACAACATTGATAGACATACATTCAGGTAGAAATTCGGACACGTCCCGCAATTATTTAGCAAGCTCAGCTTGATGTAAACGGTGTGTTCACTTTCTGGCTTAAGGTCATATCACATTGAACTTTTGTTGACTTGGTAAAGTTTGTTTTGCTGATTTAGTAAAGTTCTGCACAAGGCTGAAGTCGGTGGTTAGTCGACAGATAATCACGTAGAGCGTCTCGCGTCCGATGTCTGGAACTCTCTTCTTTCTTACTTCGAGGCATTCGTATTTATTGACGTTCGCCCAAACCGGCGTGGTGCACGGCGCAGTTGGAGAATTTGGTGTTTCCCCCTGTCGTCATCTCCATTGTCTGGGTCCTAAGAATTAAAATATTTCATAATTTTGGGAAATTCCCTTCTTCCACGTGTGATGAATACAGGCATTACTCCGCCTCATAACTTCTATTTTCTCTTATTATCATCTCCCACTAATCCTCCTCAGTGAGCTTGGGTGGCTCCTTCACCTTCCTTGGTGTCTCAGCCACCTTCCGTCCATTAAAGATTAATTCTAATTTCGTTGTTTCCAAAAATAAAGTTTCCCATTCACAGCACGTATTTTTAGCTGTGTGTAATAAGTGTCAATCATTGTTGCTCTTTTGGCCTGTCACGATTCAAATCCATGTCCAGCTCATGTTTTTCATTGTTCACAGAATTCAGGTGGCTGTCTACAATGAAAATTAAAATCTTAAAATTTTCCCACGGGTTTTATTCATTAACCCTTCTTATTTATCAGTGGTCTGTCAGTATATCTTTCCTTCTATTATAAGAATTTTTTTTTTTTATAATTACCAGTAACAAAATAGTGTCACGGTACTACTATACATTTATTCATGCTCAACAAGTATATTACACATTGCTTTCCTCTGTCTCTCTTACCGCCAATCTGTCCTGTGAGTATCAGGTTTTCCAAGCCTTCCTTCCTTCCTCATTACGTGCCCCAGAAATTCCAACTGCTTGTTCCTGATGTTAAGTATAAGTTTTCTTTTTGTTTCCATTTTCCTCTAAAACCTCATCGTTGCTCACATGTTCGGTCCATGGTGTCGTCTGCATCTTTTTGTAGAACCACATTTCTGTTGCTTCAAGTCTCTTCTTCATTTTTGAGGAGATTATCCAGCATTCGATGCCATACAGGAGGACAGATATCACATAATATTTCAGTACTCGTTTGTTTGTTACCAACGAAACTTTCCTGTCTTGTCATATTCTGCTTCGTTTTTGGGATGCATCTTTGGCAATCCCAACTCGTCTTCGGATATCAGTGTTGCCCTTTCCGTTCTCTGTGAGAAAACATCCCAAATATTAAAATTTTTGTACATGTTTGATTTTAGTATCCCCGATTTCTTTTCTTTAACGTTGGTCTGAAACATAAAAACATAACATTCTTTTTTTTTGTGCCGTGTCATTTAAGGACCTCCCTCTATCCCTTGCAGCTCCCAGCAAGCTCCTTCCCTCTGCTTTCTCCCCCAGACATCGTTCTGTCATCCACTTGCTCAAACTCGTCAGGAATGTCACGCGTTGTTTTCCCATGTCTCTCTTTCCCTCTATTCGACCCGTGAGTATCAGATTCTCCAGACCCTCCTTCCTCATTATGTGTCCCAGAAACTTCAATTGCCTCTTTCCGATGTTAAGCATAAGCCCCCTCCTTGTTTGTAACTTCTCCAAGACCTCATTGTTACTCACATGCTCGGCCCATGATATCCTTAGCATCCTTCTGTAGAACCACATCTGTTAGAAAGCATCCCAAATATTAGATTTTTTTTGTTCTTGTTTGATTCTAGTATCCCCGACTATTTTTCTTTTTATATGCCATGTCCTTTCGGGACATAGGCGATTATGGCTCTCCACCTCCCTCTATCCCTTGCAGAGATCAGCAAGCTTCTTTCCTCTGCTTCCTCCCCCAAGTCACGTTCTGTCATCCATTTGCTTAAGTCCGCCAGGTAGGTTACGTGGTATTTCCCCTTGTCTCTCTTTCCCTCTATTCGACCCGTGAGTATCAGATTCTCGAGGCCCCCCTTCCTCATTATGTGTCCCAGAAACTTCAGCTGCCTCTTTCAGATGTTAAGTATAAGCCTTCTCCTTGTTTGCATCCTCATCGTTGCTCACACGAATCGGTCCATGATATCCTTAGCATCCTTCTGTAGAACCACATCGCTGTCGTCTCGAGTCTCTTCTTCATCTTTGAGGAAATCGGCCAATATTCGCTACGTAAAGTAGAACAGATATTACCCCTGATAGTAAA